ACGTTGTTATGGTTTGGGCATGGGTTCTCTGGTCACCGCATGTTCTGGGAACACGAACGTTATTATGGTTTGGGCATGGATTCTCTGGTCACCGTATGTTCTAGGAACACGAACGTTATTATGGTTTGGGCATGGATGATCTGGTTATTGTATGCTCTTGGAACACGAACGTTATTATGGTTTGGGCATGGATGCTGTAGTGAGCGTATGCTCTTGGAACATCCACGGTATTATGTTTTGGGCATGGATGCTCTGGTGAGCGCATGCTCTTGGTACACGAACGTTATTATGGTTTGGGCATGGATGCTCCGGTTATCGAGCGCAGTCGCACATCGACAAACGCAATGTGTGGTATACGCAGTATTTCGGGCCCGCGGAACACCTCGAATGTGTGGATCGTCCCACGCAGGCCACATCCGAAGAGGTCGGCCAAGTATGGTTTTGTTGCGCGTTTATGCTCCGGCGGAGCCAATTACAATAATACTCAATGTTCCCACACTGGGTTTCAAGAGAATGTTGAAGCAAAATGACCAGTTACCTAGAGATTGAAAGGACCTGGATTTCAAAAGTGGAAAAAAAGATGGCCCAAATTCCATCGAGAAAGCCCACAAGGCTGTTATTGTAAAAATTTTGGAGTCTGAGTATTGGGTAAACCAAAAAACCTCAACATTGAACCGCAGCCTTGCAAAGCTCCCAGCCAGGTATGGGTCAACTTGCTTCCAAATTGACTGGTACTTCAAATTGGGGATATCAGTGCCCCCAATATAGAGTAGGATTACAACCGTTTAGGGTTTAGGGTTTAGGGTTTCGGTCAGGGTTGTAGTCTCTTACAAGGGGCATCAGGTCTTACTTGGTTCATACACCGATTCGACGATGATTGTGGGTTCAAGAAAACATCTGGGTTCAGGTTGCTATAAACCTTGTTTGGCAGTGTGCATAAATGCAGGACCTCAGTATGGAAATCAACATAGTATGATCCTTATTATGGGGACTCCCTAACCTGCGGCCCCGATTTTGGAAATGCACGTTCCACGAGCCTGAGGCTTAAACTCTAAAGACTCCAAACCCTAAATCCTAAACCCGAAGCCTCAAAATCTGAACTCGAAACTCGCAAGGTTGCACTCATGTCTGCATGGACGGATGCGGCCACCAGGCCTTCTGTAGCCCACACCTGATCATGGGGGTTTAGGGTTCAAGGAGTCAGCCGTCTAGATCACAGAAGTCTTGCAACAATGTACTTCCAGGGCTGGAAAGAGGCCTCTTGCCCTTCAAACTTGCTGGTTGAAAGGAAACATGAGGATTGTTTCAAGACCCAAGGTTGCATGGCTGCATACTACAGGAGCCTAAACCGGTACCAATGTCGTATTACGGTAGGGCCTAGATGGAGAATGAAATGGAAAGGAAGACGGAAAATGAAATGGGATCTGGAGTTATATTGGGGTTTATGGGGATGATTGCGAATCTTATGATCCAAGATTCCTTGAAGAATCGTGTTATAGGGTATCTCAAATAGACTTCAAAGTATATTGGACATTTAGGCCCCGATAGTACCATTGGCGACAGCTAAGACGAAGGGTGTCTTGATGCAATCGGGCCAATGCAGTGTAAGATAGCTGTGTTCTGAAGTAGTCGCCATCTGCTGTTGAGTAAGGATTGACTGCGATCGCTGAAGTTTCAGAGCCTCTCACTATCCCAAACGGACAATTCGAGTCATGTGTGCGAGCTTCAAATGCCGTGCTACTGCTGATGGACCATTCAGCTTACTTGAAGAACTTACCTGGTGGCGCTTCGACAGAATTTTTGCACTCACGTTTAGGTACAGCGGCTTTCAGGATTTGCAGTTTTGCCCGAGCGTATGTTGGTAACATGCAGCTGAACTCCCTCGCGTGCCAAGACTGGAAATACCTGCCTAGCCTAGGAGTGTGCCAAATGGTTAGCAAGCATGGTTATCAGGGTTACCTGGGAATATGGAGACTTCAAAACAGAAGTACTGACTATTTATCTTATTCCAAGACCGTCTAAATACGGTGATGCCTGCCGGAGCCGATCAGAGGTCTTCTGTTGCGTGACGACTACCCAGGCCGAAAAAAACCCAAAATCATAATTCCTTAAGGATTCTTCAGGACATGTATACGCTTTAGGGTGTAGGGAATAAGCGATTTCCAGTACCTACATCACGGTCCTTCATTCCCTGTGTAATTATGGTAAAGTAGGTACCTCAAATAGACATCAAGATATTACTAGGGAGCACGCAGCTTTGGTTTTAAAGACATTGCAATTGGGAACCAGATACGTCTACTTTTGCAGTACGTGATAGTTTGCCAAAATAAGGCGACACCAATGTAGACCCAAAAAACACTATGATTCTTATTCTAGGAACCTCCATAAACTAAAACAAAGCTCGAATCTTGGGAAACTACCATCGAAAGTCCTTTTGCGGGGCTTGCCGCTTGTACCTTGCACATTCTAGTCACAGCACACTCACCTGGAGATGAAGCGGTAAAAGCCAACTCATGAGCTAGGATTAATTCTTGAACGCGTTGTTTACATTTTCATTTCAGTTGGACTAAAGCCCAAGAAGAATCTAACATTGCCACTTCAATGCTCTCCCAACAGGGAATCCGTGAAGGGTAGAACGGGTAGAACACCTCTTTTTATCCAGAAGCACATTGGTCCACCAAAAGTAATCCTCCTCCACACACAACCCCACATACACACTCCATTGCACATTGTCCTGACATGAACACCACCGACTCCATGTTGCGTTCCCGAGCTGATGCTTAGAAGTGCGCTGGCTCGAATTTCCTGAGTCATGTGCTACACATCCATGTCACGGTCAGAGAACCTGCTAGATTCGATGCTTGTTTGAAGGTTCGTGATGATGAGCAGCTTCTGCTTCTTCGTCCTGAACCTAGGTGGCAATTAGGGATCATTGTTGTGAACTTCCCCTTCTTGTTCAATAAGAGAGCCCTAAACCCTAAGCCCCGCACCCTAAGCCTTAAACCCTGCACCCGAAATGCACACTTAACCCCAAGCCCTGCACCCTAAACCCCTAAACCCTAAACTCTTTTGGGGGCAACCCATTAATTTGCAACCGAGGAACTTCTTCTGCGTGTCCTGCGCTGTGGTGGTCTTCTCAAAGATGGGCGGAACGCTCAGAAATGGGCGTTTAGCGTTTAGGGTTTAGGATTTAGGGGTTTAGGGTTAACAGTTTAGGGTGCAGGGTGGGGGCACCCTACAGTAGCAAGATGTTTGAAAACAGGAGGGCCTAGGTAGCGTAGAAGTTTGAATAATTGCTTACAGTATTACTAGTAACCCTGCCATAATTGCAGCATGAAAGTCCTTAAAAACCCTCTCCAGATTGATTGTCTGGCCTACATTTGCCCCGTTGGACTTTACTTCATGATTTACAGCTAGGTGCACAGCATTGGAACAAGACTCCAAACGGTCTGTGTACGTATACAGTATATACTTAGGGCTCACAGGGGTTCCCATATTCATGACTACTTTGCAGAGGCTCACCACCTTTATCCTAGGCATGCCCTCTTTGTCTAGCGGTTCGGGGAGCGCTTTGCAAATCAAAGCTCACACATTAATGCAACATAACACAAAATAGTAGCTGCCTAAGGCGCTGTTCTGGTTCTGGTTCGACCCGATATGCCGCGATTCGCCCTACGCGTACTTTCCTTCCAGCTTGCCCCATTTAATTATCCAATATACGCAGTACTAGCCCAAGGGTTGCCAGCTTCTTCCAATCAGCACCACGCCGTGAAAGCACCACTGCAGTTGCTGGTATCATTCTTACGTCCAAGCTGAATAGTCGCCAAGGAGTCCATGTAGCGCTCTGGTATATACACAGGCCCAAAGTATACTTGTGTACCAAGATGGGCCGTTTCATGTCTTGGCCATGCACCAAACCATAAGTCATGGAGTAAAGTCAATTTCACCTGATCCAGGGGCCAAAACACAAAGTAGAAATCATCGGGCGTGCATACGAAGAGTTAAAAGAAATTGTCAACAATCTGTCCTGGAAGAGTCCAGATCTTGCCAGCCATATCCTCGCAGCAACAGTTCAAGGGTTCATTCGGCGGAAGGATTTTTTCTGATGCTGCGACGGTGCCGAAGATTACCTCTGCAAGGTGGTCAAAAGGGTCATCCGTTTTTAGGTTCCTAATGGCCTTGCATAGTGAAGGTACCCAACAGGAGGCCGCAATTTTGACAACCTACCTTCTAAGATGGAGAGGGTTCTGGAAGTGTCTTCAACAACAGCCTTCCCTAATCATGTTGCCGTAGGTAGCACTAGACTTGTGCTTCGATCTGCCTACCTGTATTCTGGAGAGTCTAATGTAATATTGAATCTGTAGCACCAATGCACGTTGGACTTTGAGACTTTGTACTTACGGTCTTCATATTTGGTAGTTTCCCAAAATAAGGGGACCCCAATATAGACCCCAAAATACTATAGTCCTCATTGGGACCCCCAAGATGGTATCCCTACTTTTCGGAAACCCCAATTTGAGTTTCTCTACTTTGGTACACATCACTTGATGCGCCGACGCGCTCTGCTATACTTAGGTGGCTACTGAGCAAGGCACATGGACGGCAAAAGAGCAAGCAGATGGAAAAAGTTGCTAGTTCGGGATAATGGAAGAGAAAATTTGAAACTACTAGAATGCATTGGGGTTATATTGAGATAATGGAAAATAAAATGGAAACTACAACAAAGGGGTTTACAGAAGTTATGATCCTTCCCCTGGTCCTTTGTAATTCTCATCGGAATTGCGTGTGCAAGCGTGTTCTACCTAGTGGCTGAGTGGGCTATTATTCAGCGTTTGTTTTGGGGAGAAAACCAACCTGTTGCGCCTGAAGGGTTCTTGCACGTTTGTCTATAAATCCCAAGTATCAAAGGATAATGTAGCCCCATTTACAGGCTGGGGGGGTTGTTGGTTGGCATATTCTCACCACCCCACACCCCACACCACATGACCCCCAACATGCTAATTCAAAGAGAAAGTAGCCCCACCATGCCAAAAACCCTAAACCCTAAACCCCCCATTAATGGGGTTTGTAATTTCACCAAGCCTATGATCTTGACCTAACCAAGGTCCGGAAACTTACCCAAAGGGTTCCCAAGTAATGGCCTTTTGGGCTAAATCGTACAGTTCGTATGATTTGTGGTACCTAGGCCCCCAATATTCGGCTACATCTGCAGGCTTCTGCATCCGAATGATGGATTGCATTGTTAAAGGGCCATTTTGGACGGGAAGATGAGTTCCTTTCGGTAGCACTATCGAAACAGTGAAGGTAGCCTCACAAAGCTTCGGGGAATTGAGTTTCAAAATTCCGTGCACAAATTTCCATATCTATATATTCGTATGAGGTTCATGTCAATGTGATATTAATAGCCCGAAACCCTCAAATCTAAACAGAAGATTGTTTTGTTCTGAGCGTCCTTCAACGGATAGCTGTGCAAACGGACCGCCGGCTTCTTCTCAATCCACGGTGCGTGCAGGTCGCAGTGGGATGATGAACGATGTTCAAGTATTCCCTGAGGGCTTAGGGTTTGGGCACTCAAATTGGGCACTCAAATAGGATGTCATTTGTGCCCAAAAGAATTCGACTTGTGGCAGGGTATGCTTTATCTAGCCATCGAGAGGAGACAAGACCTGGCCATGGCCATAGCCGATTGCCTTGGCTTCTAGAGCTGGACGTTGATTCGCCATGGAAAACCGCGACTTCAATTTCGTGATACCTGCTTCCCGGTCTTGAAGTTTGTTGTGCAAACTCTTTGTCGATAGTGTAGAAACCTAGAGAATTACCAAGATTCTTCCCGCATTTTCACTGATAGTCCCCGAAATCTATTCAAGTTATTTAGACTCTTAGACCCCTACGTAACTGAGACAGAGCAGTCTCCTGAATCTTTGTAGCAACCCAGGCTGGTACCCTGGACAAAGTCGTGGTCAGTTCCTCAGCAGTGGATGAGACCAGGACGACCCTCGACTTCACTAGCCTCCCATTTTCCTTCAGAGTTCGGGGTGTAAGGTTGTTGAGGCTCAGGGGTCAAGCAAACATGAAGAGGGCGTAAATGCCTACTCTTGGGCCCCTCCAGAAGCGTCACTGGCAATACGACAGCATCTATTATTGCTGTTGCTCTTACAGCTATGTTTTCTGTCACTACTACTGCTATTGTGGTATTGCTATTGCTCTTACCATACTACTTTCAACATGCTAGTATTAAACACCCCTCCTAATGTTAAATATGCCTGCCCAACGTATGAGGTCTCCCGGGGGAAATTTAAGATGCAAGGTGGTGGTGGTGGTGGTGGT